TTGGTGGAGTGGTTAGGTGGTGGGGTTATCTCGATGGTGGTTGTGGGTTCGAATCTGCTTGGCCGCAGTTTTATTCGGATTCAGGAGGAGTATCCATCGGATCTATTCTTCTGTCAGGCACTGAGCGCCGTAAAGATTCCTTTTATCACGACAAGGTTCGCCAACAGGAAGGGGCCGAGATCAATGCGAGCTTACACGCCCTGAAGGAGTGCATTCGATATAGAATGCTACGCCATCACCACAACAACAATAGCAGCAGCAGTAGTGTGTCGGTGGAGAAAGAAGGTGGGGTGAGGCGGCAAAAGCGCGCGCCCGAGTGATCTATCAATGCTGCATGTCAATGGGTTTTCGGAATATATAGTTTCCACTTCAGGGGAGTTTTTGGCGAGTTTTGAAATTTCTGGGCAAAATTTTTTGAATATTTGGAAAAAAAGAAAACTGATGCCCCAATAGGCTCGATAAAGGTGTCCTGGCGGTTTTTTTGGGGTTAAGCGATGCAGAAAACTGACAGTTCGAAAATGCTATTGGTTCTGACAGAAGTTCTTAGTGTTTGTGATCGTTTCGATTGGGTGCATATCGTCACTCTCCTATGCTCTGCCTTGTCTGTAGGATTCGTCCCCTTCCGGGGCTCAGCGTTGACTAGGGTCCTCGCGGAAGGCTTCGTCAGACCGGATGCTCTACTGCATGTGATGGCCACTATTTCGCCATGTGCTACGGACATCGAACACAGCATAAGTGATGGAGCAGCGCCATTTTTGGGCGAGCGAGATTGTCGTTTGATGGAGGTACGTTGAAGGCGGTGAGTATGTTGTCGGGTAAAGAGGATGGTTTGAAGGAAGTGAAGCAGATGGAGTTGTTCCCGATGGTGAAGAAGGAGCTACCAAAGCATCCAAAGCATTGGGATGAGGAGGAGGTGGGTTCGATCCCGGCCTGGGGTACTTTCAATGTGGGGGGTTTCCTTGAGTTGAATTCCTATCGCGAATTGGGTTGTTTGAGTGCGTGAGAGAATGTGGGGAATATAGGGTAGAGGTTAGGCTGTTTGGTTATCATGAGGTAGGTATCGGGTTCGATTCTTCCGGTTTGTGTTTAGTTACGGAAATGGATGAATACGGTTTCCAATGGAGCCTTCAAGACCGTACAGCTGGCGTCGGGCACGAAGGGCTCTATGGTGGTCCGATGGCCGGCCAAGCGCTTCGTTCAACTGTGTGATGGTGACGAGCCTCGGGGGCACCGATTGTACAATGCCTTGCATAATATTATGGAGGAAGTTACCAAGTTGGGGGAAATGCAGAGAAAGTAGTGGTAGTGATGTAGGGGAGGGCCGATCTGGGGTTAATTGAATTGGTTTCAGTCAGTGTGGGAAAATGTGCATATGGTCAACCACATAT